AAACAGAGCAAAGGTGTGTCTGGGGAGGCCTTTTATCTCAGCTGGAAAAAAACAAGTCTGATTAATCTGAACGGGATAAAAAAAAAAGTGGGGAGAGGCCTGCAGTGGCCCAGTTTTTCCTGTCCCTTGTTTTATTCTCACTGGTTGGCCTCCTCCACCTACCTCGCTCTTCCCCCTCCCACACCCGTTGCTCTCCTAGGGGCAGAGCCACCAGGCCACCATCCACCGGAGCTGGAGAGGTATCCAGGTGTGTTTGGGATCCCAGCTTCCTGAGTCTCAAAGAAGAGACACACGGCATTCCCCTGCCTTGTGCCAGTTAAGGGAATGGGGTCAAGGGAAGGATATTCAACATTCTTTAAATGCCAGCCACAGTAGGCCAAGTACTGGCTAGATGCTTTAGAGCCTACACGATACAGAGCCTGCTGGGGGTGCTCTGGGGTACACGGGAGCACAAACTCCAGCAGGAGTGACTGAGGGCCCTCTCAGGCAGGATGCCACCTGGCAGCCTCGTTATTCTCAATCAGTGCTTAAGACATGCACAGGGCTGAGAACCCCTCAACTAAGTGATGTTGGTAGGCAAGGTCACCGGCTGGACGAGGACTAGAAAGGAGGCAAATAGGAGTCAGAAGTCAAGAGTAAGGGGGCGGCAGGTGGGATCTGCCTAGGTTTTCTGTCGTGCTCCTAGGTAACTGGCTGCCCGCCCTTCCTTTCCACCAATCAGCTGCTAGGAAGGAAAAGGAGTGCTAACTGGCATCTGGCTCACCGCCTGGACTAACCTCATGCCCTCACTTTTTCTAGGGCCTTTGAAAAGAACACTCACTCATTCAACCACTTTTATGGAGCACTAATGCTGGGTCGAGTGGGAGATAGAAAGAAGCATATGGTCTCTGCCCTCACCTGTGTCTCCAGTGTATGAAATAAAGATCTGGAGATACCTGGCTGCAGCCAGTTTCCTGCCAGTTGTGGCGAGGGGTTGTCCTGTTCCCTTAGTCCTCAAGACACACACACGCGCGCACACACACACACTGAGAGGCTTCTGTGGGACACAGTTTGAAAACCACTAACATAGAGCAAAAGGGGCCGGGAGGCATCATCTGGAAAAGCTTTGGAAAAGTCGAGAATTAAACTAGAGCCAGATGGGTCATTTTAAGATTGAGGCTTTCTAGAGACCAGCATTGTTAACTGCCAAATCTAGGTTCTGACCCGTAGTAAGCTCTCTTCCCTCGACAGGTTGCTGGTATCTTTCTGTCTGCAGGCTTCAGCTTCACCCTCCCTCCCACTCTTAACAGCCCTGGAGAGTATCCAAGACTCCCTCCTCTTACCTTGTCCCCATATCAGAGAATTACCTCCCTTAGTTTATAGCTGAGGAAACCGGCTCTGAGAGGTTTGTGGCAGAGCGGAGGTGGGACAGCGCCCCCTCCTGGCAGCTTCTGGCCACACAGAAGAGAGTTTGGTCTGATGCTGATCCAGCCTTCTCCTCTCACCCATGGGACCCTCCCTGGAGGAGCTGAGGCAGCATTTTTGACCATTCTGTCTCCAAAGTGGTGTCACCCTAATTTGGGGGCACAAAGCTAGATAATTTCCGGTCTTTGGGGTTAGCCTGGGCCATATCCTCTCTTTGGCTCCTTTTCAGCCCAGTACCTGGTTGCTCAAGGAAGAACTAAACCCCCAGCACCAGCTCAAAACCCACCATCTAGTCTTGGAAGGGGATTGCCCTGTTTCTGCAGTGACCTTGAGATGTGGGGATGTCTCACAGCTGTAGTCTCTGCCCAAAGTCGGGAAAGTAGGCAGCGGGGTTCACTAAATTTACCCAGCAGTACCCAAGACTTCCTGCCCCCATTGCGGTCCTCTTCAACTTCTTTTAAGAGCTCTTCCCCAAATCTCTTAGATCAGCCTTCCCAGGGTCAGCAAAAAGGCAGACGTGAAGGTGAGGGACATGGAGACATCTGCTGTGAATGGGGCTGTCTGACTGGAACATGGCTGAAGAACCCTCGGATTAAGTTTTGTGCCCCTCAATTATCTCCTAGGAGCTCTGCCTGACAAAGGGGACCTGATGCACGACCCAGCCATGGATGAGGAGCTAGAACGGCTGTAAGTGTCAGGTGGGAAGATGCCGCCCCCTTGTGGGAGCCAAACCTCAGTTGGACATGGCAGTGCCCCATCATGGGTCACACAGCACTTGTCCATAACACCCCCCATCCATCAGGGAAGGGTTGGGGCCAGCAGAGGCCTGAGGTATCCTGAGTCCTTTGGGAATACAGCCCATGGTTTCACCCAAATGCGAGAGTGAGTGTGGAGGGGCCGGCCTGGTGGCACAAGCGGTTAAGGGTGCACGTTCCACTGCGGCGGCCCGGGTTCGGATCCCGGGCGCCCACCGACGCACCACCTGTCAAGCCATGCTGTGGCGGCGTCCCATATAAAGTGGAGGAAAATGGGCATGTATGTTAGCCCAGGGCCAGTCTTCCTCAGCAAAAAGAGGTTTGGCAGATGTTAGCTCAGGCCGATCTTCCTCACAAAAAAAAAAAAGTGAGTGTGGAGGTCCTGGTCTCTGGACAGGAGGCATCTCGCTGCCCTCTGGGCTTCTTCCCTCCTTCAGGCTGGCCCAAGTCCCAGGCCTGGTCAACTCGGTCACTGCCGGTTCAGAGGCCAGCTGCCTGCCTTCCAGGACCCCTCCCCGGGTTGGCTCCCCCTGGAGACCCCTCCATCACATCCGCAAAGTGGATGCAGAGAGCGATGGCTCCACTGAAGAGACAGATGAGTCTGAGACTTGAGGAGTCTGAAGGGTTCTGTCTACAACACCCTGTAGCCTGCTCCCACCCAGCCCTTGGGACTCTCACCCCACCTCCTCTCCCATGCCTGTGCCATGCTGCCCTCTGCTGGTGAAAAGGCCCGATAAGGGCCCTAGCCCAAAGACCTACCAGAGGAGTTCTGATGATCAACCAAACCAAGCAGTGACCCTAAAAAGTTAAGAGCCTTCTCTCCCTTGCCCTGTCAGCCTTTGTGCTTTAGTCAGGCCCCAAGCTGACAGCAGATTGAGCGGAGGCCACGGGGAAAGTGACTTGGCCTCAGCTTTTTGCTGACAGCTCCCACATAAGGGTCATCTGACAGCAACTCCAGGAAGGGGGAGACCCTGAATAACCGTGCAGAGCCTTGCATGATCAAGGGTGACAATACAGTGATGCAAGTAATGGGAGGACACAGCCACTAGCCATGACAGGATGAAGGGTGGGCAAGATGACAATTTCACTTTCAAAATCTGCTTCAAGTCTCCTGTGTCTAATACTTAAGTATGTGAAATGAATAAAGTCCCTTGTCTGGTAAGTGGTGAGTCTAAGGCCACTAGACGGAGGAGGGGGTGAAGGGAAGGGGCGAGTTTGGGTTTTTGGTGCTCAGTCTCAGCTTTTCTGGCAGGACTGGGAGGTGGGGAGGACCTCTCAAGCCTGGAGACCTGCCTCAGATAACGAGCAGAGGGGCTTACCTCCTGCACATGACAGCAGCCTTTCAAAGGAAAGGTGCTCACAGCTGGAATGGGCCTTCAGAAAACAAGCTCACAGGGTTCAAGGCTGGGTTCCCATAACTTTAAAGACACTGGCCACAGGGCCGGCCCCGTGGCTTAGTGGTTAAGTGAGCGCGCTCCACTGCTGGCGACCCGGGTTCGGATCCCGGGCTCGCACCGACGCGCTGCTTCTCCGGCCATGCTGAGGCCGCGTCCCACATACAGCAACTAGAAGGATGTGCAGCTATGACACACAACTATCTACTGGGGCTTTGGGGGGAAAAAATAAATAAATAAATAAAAATAATAATAAAATCTTTATAAAAAAAAAAAAAGACACTGGCCACAAAGGGTTAGCACTGCAGAGCCTTCTGGCTAGTTTCATCAAACATTTGCCAAGCACCTGCTCAGGATCAGGGCAGTGGGGATGCAGCTGTGAACAAGACAGGCCTGAGGGGTCCAAGCTTCCAGCTAAGACTGGAGGAAGGTAAGGACAGGCGGTCTTCAACTTCCTGGAACGGGGCAGGGGTCCTCCAGAAAAGTAAAACCCATCTAGGGACGCAAGCAGAAGCAGTCTGCCTCCTCCAAAGCCAAAGAGGTCACCATCACCAGGCACATACATTTCCCTGGGCTCACCCCTGCCCAGCCCAGCCCCCCTGGACAGTTAGAGCAACTGACTCCCAACGCCCGGCAGTGCCGGGTCAGCACTGGACGTTCCAGTCCTGCCGAAGCTCCAGGCCACATGGTGAGCTCTCTGGGCCCACAATCATTTGCAACTTCCAGCTGATTGAGAGCAGTTCGAAAATCCTGGCACACACCAGAATCACCCGAGGAGCTGTTTACAGTGCATATTACCAAGCTCCAGTTTGGGATGGGGAACAGAAATCTGGATTACGTCCATAGCTGGAAGTCCCAGGTCCACACTTTGGAAATCACTGGCTTAGAGCCCCACGGCTCTCTCCACTCATCCTAATCATCCATCCCCAGACCAATGGCATACAACTATACCCTGAGGACGCCTGAGGTAGCAGAGAGATGTTCCAGGAGCCCCTAGAGGGGACGGGGCTGCCAGGCCAGGAGTTTACACACACACACACGTCCTTTCTTCCTGAATTTAAAAGGGTTCCATTAAGGTCTTGTTTTCCAACTGCACTGAGAACCGCGTCCCCAGACAAGCCTACTATTGGGGTGAGGTGCATGGCTGCTGAGCCTGCTCGCCTGCCTGCAGCCGTATGGCTCAGAGGATGTTAAAGGTCCAACTAACACCAGCTCTTTCCTCCGCGTGCAACAGGGTGGTGAGGTCGAGGCTGCACCGGACCTCGCGGCAGCACAGGGCCGAGGAGCCAGGGGCCTTTGGCTTTCAGAGAAGAGACAAGCTGGAGGCCCCGGAGAGAGTGCCCTCAGCTTCGGCAACAACGCCCTACCCCTATCGGTGGGAGCCCAGAGAGTGAGGCGAGGGGCCTGCACTGGGCAGGGAGGCAGGATCCAGAGGACACTACTTCACTCAGACCAAGAGGGGCCTGGGGCCCCATTGGGGATTTATTTGACACCACTTTGTTTCAATACAAACAGTCCAGAAAGAAAGTCACATCCCTTTGGGGGAGGGGGTTGGGGGAAGAGTGGTTTGTTGCTTGGGAGCCCAACCCTCAACCCACAGGGGGTGGGGTGAGCCCAGACTGCCAGCACGGCAGGGAGAGATGGCACCAAGGATGACACAGTGCCTGGCCCAGTGGCCAGGGGCAGGCCTGCAGCTCTGTAGGCGCCTGAAGCTCTCACTGGTGGGGTGCTGTCCAGGCCCCTCTAAGCCCAGCATGATGCAGAGGAAGAAAGTTGAGCCCCAGGAGCCTGCTTCTGTCCCTCATGTCCTCTGCTTCCTTGGCCAGCATTACACTCACAGCATCCGGAGCAGGGCACAGGGCAGATGAGACCCACCAAGCAGGGGAAGAAGGGACAGAGTCTCAGGAAGGGACAGAGGGTCCTGTGGTCCACAATGGATGGTACAGAAGGACTCCGAGACACCCAGGAGGAGAAGTAATCCTCCAAGTGATCACTGTAAAAAGGGGTGATGAGACAGAAGATCACTCGGGCCTCCAGTCTGATCCCAAATGAAACCTTTAGGTACCATGTCAAATTTCTAGCCCTTACTAAATAGGGCCCAGATGAAGGTCCTTCCCCTTTCCTGCCCTCTCCTGGTGCCCAGAAGAGGCCACTGGAGCAGCAACAGCAGCAGCCAGTCCAGAGCCTCCCTCCCCTGGGGGCTGGTCTACAGCAGAACTCTTTCTAGACCTCCCCACTGGTGCCAGAGGATGGGGGCCAAACCCCCAGATGACCTGGAAGGATCCTAGAGCCGGCAGAATAGCCCTACACTTTTCCCTCTCCCTACTTGGGGAAGGGCTGGACCCAGAATAAGCCATCCTGAGGGAACACCCCCCCTCCCAGTGCGGCAGGACAAGTGAGCAGCAGCTTTAGGGGCAGAATTGGAAGGACAATAACCTAGCACACAGAGGGGTGGGGGGCGGGGGATGAAGAGCTCCATCTGCAGGCAGAGGTCAAGGGCTAGCACTGCCCATCCCCTCACCCTAGATCCTCAAAGGCCACCCCGCTCCCACACCACACATACAGAGTATCAGTTCCTCCCCAGCTTCCACAAGGCAAGCATCCCTGCGCTGGGAATCATGGGGGTTTTGCTGCCATCACCACCATGTGCCTGAGCCATGAAGCATGGATCAGTAGGAACCATAGCGATCCTGGGGATGGGGAAGAAAAAAAGAAAGAGAGTCAGAGTCTCTAACCCACAACACCCTTCCCCCAACACACCCCGCAGGACTGGGGTACCCAGGGGAGGAATCAGGCACCAATCTCACCATGGCAGAGACTGTTTTATATTTTGTTGTGACCAGATCCCAAGGGGGAAGCCCTGCCTGATCTCACAGAAGCTGGGGCAGGAAGAAAAAGAGTAGTACAGGTGACAACACTAGGGGCAACATCAGTGCAGACATGGCATCACCTTAGGGAGAGGCCCAGCCCTGGTACCAAGCTCAAAGGAAGAAAGCTGCCCCTCCAGGAAAAGTAAATGCTCTTTCAGGCTGAGGGGCTACCCAGCAGCAGTGTCTGGATGTGGTGCTGAAGACCAACTCCAACACTGCTCTTTAGGCCCCTCCCACCCCAGCGCAAGCAGCCCCAGGCTCACCTGCAAAGAATTCATCACACCATTGGCTAGCACAGCCATCTTCCCAGCCACAGACTTGACACCCTGCTTAAACTGGGCGATGTCAGCTGTGGGGAGCACATTCCCCAGAGACACGCCACCTGTAAAAGCAAGGGGAGGGGTGACCCAGAACCCTGCAGGAAGCAGCCCTTCCCAGTCCACAGGGCCCTCCAGCCCTGCTCACAGGCCTCGCCCGGTGCCAACCACACCACTGGGGCCCTACCTGCTCCATGAGCTCCGTCCACGTCCCCAAAGAGGTCTGAAGAGCTGATGGCGCTACTGCCTGAGAGCTGCTGTAACCGAGACCTGGCTTCATACTATGGTGAAGAAAAGGCAGGGCCTGGGGATCTTCTGGCCAGTGACCCAAGAACTCATATAGGCCAAGACACCCTGGTGCTAAAGCCCAAAGGAGTAGCAGGGACGAAGCTCTTGCTTCTACCTGCTGCCTCCAGGCTCAGGGTGGACAACTACTTACCTCAGCATCCACCTCCCGCCCAAAGAACATGTCAGACGAGATGGCTTTGGCTCCTGCAAATTTCTGACGTGCTTCACTGGACTCGAGGCCTGAGCTCCGGCTTTCTACTTCCCTCCGGTTTGTGACTCTACAGGGTAGACATGGGACAGTATCCCTGACCTTTCCCATTACTATCAGACACCAAAAAATGCAGCACTGGCCCCATGTGGCTATAGCTCTGGGACTCAGGGGCCCTCTCGCCCAGATGAGGGCCCTCCCTTCTCCACATTAAAGCCGAGGAAGAGAGCTTATGTTACCTCTGCTAGGCAGCATGGAAATATGGTTTGGAGGGACCTAGGCATCTGCCCCAACCACTCCAGCTTCATCAAGGTTCAGGATGTTATGTCACTCCTGCTACTCTATCCCTAGTTACAACTGGCCTAACACTAGGGTGACCATATGTCTCCGTTTGCCGAAGGTTTATACCTACTCTCCTGGCATAATTATTAATACTACCCACCTTTTACTCTCAAAAGCAACCCAGTATGGATGAAAAGGCGTATGGTCACTCTTACCTAGCACTGATACACACAAACACTGGGCTAGGTGTTTTATAGTTCCATTACATTTAATCCTTCCAGCAGCCCTGTGGAGTCATTACTTAAGTCCCCATTTTACAAATGCATTATTTGCAGATAATTTATCAAACAATGCCCAGATTAACATGGAATAAGCTTTTAAAAAAATAAGTAAGATGAGAGCCAGAAACCCAGCTTGGGAGGACAGGAATGAAGCATAAAATCAGGCCCCTCCTTCCAGAGAAATGAACCTCGAGCAAAAGAAGCTCCTAGGCCTTCTGTGATGATAAAGCACAGCTCAAACGAAAGCCTGATTCCTGCACTGTCTAGTCCGGTAGCCACTAGCCACATGTGGCTATTTAAGTTACTAAAATGAAATTGACAATTCAGTGCCTCGGTTGCACCAGCCACATTTTAAAGGCTCAGTAATCACATATTTAGTGGCTACCACATGGGACAGTGCAAATACGGAACATTTACATCACCACAGAAAGTTCTACTGGACAGTGCCGCCCACGACCACTCCACCTTTCTGAGATAGGCCGGATGCTTGAGATGGTCACTTCTGGCTCCTTCTCCTCCATCCTGTCCATACCCCAGGAGGCATCTGTATCCCAGCGGGAACCAAAACTTTCCCCCAAGGAAAAGGGGTTGTCCTTGTACCTAGGGTGACAGTAGAGTGGCTCAGAGAAGCCTGAAGATGAACATGGTGACCAAGTCTGCACCCCAACAATAACCTTACTTTGGGGGTCCAGAGGCGAAAGTACCAACATCATCAAATAAGTCCAGCTGCGAGCGGGAAGATTTTGCACTCACTGGGGTTTCCTGCTCGATCACCTGCATCTCAGACAGCACTGAGTGGGAGACGGAGCTGTGGAGAAGAGCAGAGCCGCAGCAGGAGAGCAGTGGTGAGCAGTAGTGTCACGACACATGAGAAGAGGCCCGGTGCTGGCATAAACCTGGCTTCTCCTTCCCTGGGCACCACCAGAGCCTCCTTTCCCGGCCATGCACAGAGCTGGGCCGGACCCAGCAGAGAGTGCTGGGACCCAGGTCAACTCGAGTGTCGACACACCAACTCTGTTCTCTCAAAGCAGCGTTTCCCTGGCAAATGCCTGTTTGCCTGCTGTAATTTTAATAATAATGTGCGCCAAATGGTAGTGCTCTCTGTCCTGGAAAACAACTCCCAGACTTGCTGCCCTAAGAGCCACATCCTTCAGCAAGATGGCTACATACACACAAAAAGGGAAAGATGAAACATGCCCAGAACCAGAGAAAGGAATCTAATAGCATCAAAGGATGAGTTCTTAATTATCCCATCACCCCCGCTGCCCTGCTTTTTGTTTACAGGTGGCATTTCAAAGTACAGAGCCCCGCTTTATGCACTAAGACCTGGATCTGCTGTCTGGATTCCCAATGAGAAGAGGCCTTGAGTTGGGCAGCAGGACCAACTCTCAATGCCTCTCTTTCCTCCTGTGTCATGCTCCACGGAGGCATTTTAAGGATTAATTTCATTTAAATAAATTTATTTAAAAATATCTATAGCTTTTAGATGGCAGAACCCCAAGGAGTGAATATTTTGCAACAGAGCTTTAAATAGGGTGGGCTGGGTTCAAAGTAAAAGATTCTTCTGCACTACAAAAAAGAAAAAACAGCTGAAAAATGGTTCCTACCCTTTAACCCAGTAATTCCTGTGACCAAAACAGAGAAGGGGAGGAGACCTAAAGTCCTTTTTGGGATTAAAATGGTATGTTTCCGATTAGCTGTGGGTTACACTAGTAGCATACAGACTGAACAGGAATAACTTAAATCCACCTGGCACATGTTCTGAAAGATTACATAGAAATATCCAGCCTTATCTTCTTGCAGAGAAGTGAGCATAATGGCCACACAATCTGAATTTGGAATCAAATAGTTCTATGTTCAAAACCTAGTTGTGCCAATTACTAGATCCGTGGGCTTCAGAAAAGTTGCTTAACTGCTCTGAGTCTCAATTTTCTCCTCTATAAAAAGGGGTAACAACACCTCCTGCACAGGACTGCTGTGTTTAAGTACATTAGGCCAATGACAGAGCTCACGCCCCCCTCTAAAGGAGCAGCCACCACTCAGCACAAGCTAACTGTAGCCAGGATTGCTGGCCCCAGTGCTGTCAGATATGCCAATTTTCAAGCGAGATCAAAAATCTAGTATTACTCTAGAAATCTCTAGATGTTAACTCAGTGTAGAGCACACAAAATGCAAACAAGAACTGGTTTGTGGCCCTTGTTTTTAAGAAAACCACAGCAACACAAACCCAGTGGCCCTGAAACAGGAAGGATACCACCCAACCAAAGGGCATTTGAATGTCTGGGGGCATTTCCAAGTGGGATGGTGTGTGGCAGCACAAAGGGCATTTAGCAAACAGAGATTAGGGATGCTAAAAGCCCTGCAGTTCTCAGGGAGGTCTTGAAAAGCAAAGACCTGTCCCACCACTCAAAATGCCATTAGCCTCCCATCAAGAAACACCACCATAGTCTCTTCGATATATTGAAAGAGCACCTGATCCTATTTCATTCTTTCAACAAATACTTAGTGAGCACACACCTACTATGTGCCAAACACGGTACTAGGCACTTTAAGACAACAAGCAAAGCCATCTATTCAGCCCCAGAGGGAGACTAAACCTAGAACCCCAAACTGCTAGGAAGAACCTGCAATGGTTCCCAAAAGAACAATGGCATTGCCCGGCCACACCCCAAAGCTGAGCCTCACCTTCGGGATACCAAGCCCATGCCCAACCTCTCTGCCTGTTCTCGCTTCTTCCCTTCCAGATTCTGTAGCTTCTTCTCCTCCTTCTTACGGTCAATTTGGAGCTCCTGGTAGGCTAGACGCATGGAGGCAACCCTTGGAGGGAACAAACGTGTCAGAGGCCAGCATCCTTCGTGACCTGTCCTGCCTGCCCACCCAACCCCATGAGCTGGGGCCCTCCGGCAAACACTCACATGGACTCCTCGGCCTGCTTCTTGGCATCAGCCACCTGCTGCTCACGGAGCTTCTCTGCCACCTGGGCCTGTCGCTCAATCTCACTGAAGCTCTGGCTGCTCACCTTCTGGGCCCCTAGGCCTTTCTTGGCACCCAGCTGGAAGGAGAAGCATGTGACAGAGGCCTTGCCAACCAAAATGTCCTCCCTTCCCTCCCAGGCATTGGTACTCCAGCCACACCCACAAGGAAAGGGGTCCTTCTTTAGGGTAAAAAACAGGAGCCCAGTCAGCATGGTGAAGGGAGAACAGTGGTTCTGCTGGAGGGCATGAGGTGGCCCACACAACCCCAGCAGAGGCCTCAGGGCCTGAGGACAGCAGCTAATGCTGACCAGGATCAGAATGTGCCAAGCACTCAATGCGCATGATCTCACTGATTCCTCCCAGGAGCCCCTTGAAGATGGGCATCTTGACAGCCCTCCCAGATAATTTTCAGAGAAGTTAAGTCCCTCTGCCAAAGTCATACAGCCAGTTTAAGTGGTAGGGTCAAGGGGTGAACCCAGGCAGTGGGACTCCAGCCCCTAACCACTCTATCATACTGCCTCTCCCCACCTACCCCTTTCTTGGCTGCTGCTGGCTTCTTCTTGCCAATGAGGGAGGTTTTCAATTCTGTGTGAGAAAGAGGGTGCATGAGTGAAGACAAAGCGGGGTCAGAGGCAGCAGCTCAGTCCACACCATGCAGCTTCCCAGCAAGAGCATCTAGAAACAACAGCCTCAGGCAGGGGAAGGCAAAGCTGCCACCACCAGTTCAAACCAATGGCGTCGGGACAGTCCAAGCCAGACAGACAAGGTTAGGGGAGGTTACTGACTTCCAGCAGATTGAGACAAGAACCTAGACCTGTAGCACCAGACGGTCAAAGTCCCTGAACCAATAGGAAGATTGCTAGGCAGGGGGCTGACGCCAAACACCAGCCTCAGCTCCTAGAGCAGGGAGCTGGCGTACAAAGGGCTGGGCTCCCCAAGCCGCTGTTGATTACCTCTGGCAGGAAGGGCCCCTTTAGGTGACAGACACATGGACTCTGGAGAGAAACAGACTTGTGGCTAACAAGGGGCCCACCCCAGAGCCTCCGTATAGCTCCCACGCCCAGACGCCACAGTTATCTTCAGAGGCCTCCACAGGGCCCCACTTTAAACCAAACCATGCCAGCCTTCTCATGGGGTCAGTCTGACAGTCATTCTGCTGGCTTTCTGTCCCAAGCCCCAAGGGTCAACAAAACAAACCAAGGTCAACATCTGGATTGTTCACCCTGAACCAAGTCTGAAGGACACTAAGGAAGGAGAAGAAAAGTGCTGAAAGATAGGCCAGGGACTGACTGAGAAAGCACAACGTCACCTCCGGCCACGGGCAGCTCAGAGCTGTCCCCCCATCCCATGACATGGACTGGACAGGCCAATCCTGCCTCAGACCCCAGGGTGAGGTGTCCAGTCTCATGCTGGCCTCCCAACACTTTGGCTAGACCCCGCCCCAGCCACGGAGGCAGACCCCAGGCCTTGCAGGCCAGCCCACCCAGGTTCATCAATTCAAAGGGCCTGGCTCTAACATCCTGGCAGTTGACGATGCAGCCACGAATTCAATCCCAATCCCCACTCCAGAGAGGTCAGATGCTTGCTCTCCTGGGGCCTCAGTCCACATGACCAGGCAGCAGATCTGAAAACAGCCCTTGAGGCCCACCCCCTCCCAATCGCCCCACCCCTGCCAGCTGGCATACTGACCCAGAGAGGCTTTGGGTGAGGTGCCAAGCAGGTCTGTGTTGGGGCCATGCTCCGGCTCTGTGGACACAACGGTGGGAATCAGGTGTAAGGCTCAAAGCTTCCTGTGACCTCCCCTTAAGGGAAATGATGGGACAAGAGTAGGGGGCACTGGCTTTCCTCAGCTTGCTGAGGCCACCAAAAGATAAAAGGAATGCCTACCACTTCCTCCACGGGACTGAAATGAATCCCAGCCCACCCAGAGATACAGAAGACCTCCCACTCCTATTCCCTTGGCCAGGTGTCCCCTTCCTAGCCCCAAGTCCTCTCCCAGGACCAGGGCACTTGATTGGAATCCAGGCTCAACTCACGTGCCAGGCCACTGCTCTCTGATGGGGCTGGCTGCTGGGTCTCTGCTGGGTCAGTGGCTGGTGCATTCCAGGCAGGGGGCTGAAAAGGAGGCCAGATCACAGAAACCTAGATGAGTCATTCCTGACGGCAGGGAGCACCAAGAAACTACAAGAACTTTGGGGAAACAAGACCCTACTCCAAGCCCATGAGGTTACTGACTCAAATTATAGTTGCTATTCACTATGGAGAAAAGAAGCAGGAAACGAGCAGACACCTCCACTACCTACTTAGAGCCAGAGCCCATTCCTCTAATTTAATAACCACTAACCACTACTGGATACTTACCATGTGCCAGGCACAAGTCTCAAGGGTTTTCACATATAAACACATTTAATTATCACAACAAACTCAATGAGGTAAATATATCTCCACTTTAGAGACTGAGGTTTTGACAGGTGAAGTGACTTAGCCACCATCCTAGAAATGCTAAGTAGAGGAGCAGGGAATCAGACTGAGACAGTCTTACTACAGCACCCAGTGCCAGCAGAGGGGAAACCTCACAGCAGGGGGCTGCTAGGGAGGGGATCCTTTCATTGTCCCCAACCACAGTGCCTTTCATTTTTTGTGTGTGTGAGAAAGATCAGCCCTGTGCTAACATCTGCTAATCCTCCTCTTTTTGCCAAGGACGACTGGCCCTGGGCTAACATCCGTGCCCATCTTCCTCCACTTTATATGGGATACCGCCACAGCATGGCTCGACAAACGGTGCGTCGGTGCACGCCCGGGATCCAAACCTGTGAAACCCGGGCCGCTGCAGCAGAGCGCACGCTCAACTGCTTGTGCCACCGGGCCAGCCCCCTCACAGTGCCTTTCTTATAGGGAAAGAATCTGGGAAAAGTTGTTTGAGGTTCCTGACACCTCTTGAGCCTTCAAAGAAACTTCTCCTCCCTAACATCCCAGTTTACAGGGGTCCGTTCCTAGAGAGGGCCACACTGCATCCCCACTCCTGGGAGAAGGAAACACCCGGGCCTACCCAGCAGTGGGCCCCAGACATTCCCTGTCTGAGGTATCACACCAAGGCCAATGGAATCCACACCCATGATCGCAGAAGGCCTTGGCCTTGGTAAGTGAATCACCTGTCAGGAACAATAGTGGGAAACATTCCTTGTGGGCACTCACTTGAGTGTGTTCTGTGAAGAAATCAGAGTCCTTCTTCTCCGGGGAGTGACTGGAAGCACTACTCATATTGTCTATCCAAAGCTAGAAGAGAGAAGACAGCCTTGAAACACAGGGCTCTGAAGATTCCCACTCACCCCACTACCCCAGCCCCAGGGAATAGGCACTTACATCAGTGCCATGCCTAGCCAGGGCCGCACTCCCCAGCTGTCGGATCTTTTCCCGATACATCTGGGCAGCTCGGCTATTATATTTGGTGTTGGCATCACTGGCTGTGCATCCATGTTGGCGGAAGAAAGCTGTCTGGAGAGCAAAGAAGAGAAGAGAGCATGCTACAGGTGATTCTCCCCAAAGCAAAAGAGGCACCCCCTTACAACAGCCTGGTTATTAATTATACAGGATGATGTACTCTATTGATACCAGCAGTTTTTCATAGAAGTAAAGTTACTCAAAAATTCCTGCAAAGAACACAGCCTCCCACCCTCTGAGATGGCTGATTGAAACCCAGCCCTCACTCAACCTTGCCTGAGAACAGCGTGCCATACCCACTCTGCCCATCCTTCATCCAGGCCCACAAGACCTGGATGACTGCAGAGGCCCCAACTCCCCTGGCCTTTCCCCCAAAAAATCTATCCAGATTAGTCTGAATCTGAAGCCCCTTTGGGAAGAACAGTAAGCCATTTCCAAGTTTAGAGAACAGTGCAGGGTTGCTATAGGCCAGAGAACTCTCTGAACAGACAAACTGAGAAGGCCTCCTAAAAAGTCATTGTAAAATTAGTCTTTAGTACCCAGGCAGAAGAATGGGGCGGGAGGATGGTAAGAAGGAACTTTACCGCATTGGCATTCCCGCCGACCTGCATACACCTTAGCTGGAACCAGCTCCAGTTGGAATCCAACTCTGTGGACCTGTGTGCAAGGGCTGCGTGTCACCCACCAGCGGATACCAGGAGACCCTTCCCTGGCAGACCCAAACCTGTCATTTGGCCTCGGGCTGCAGTAGGCGCCCAAAAAAACATTAATCAGCCACCACCCTATTCGTCCACTCGACCCTGTCCAGGAAAGCTTTGCTCTTCAACTCATCTAGTCAAAAGAGTACTAATTATTTTCCAGATCCGAAAAGAGATGAAATTCTCAGGCACTCAAGCTTGGATTTGGCTTCCTCGTTAAGGACAGCCACAGTCTCACTTCAAACGTACTCGACGAATGTACCAGCAACGACAAGGTCAATGCAGCTAATTTCTCCCTCAAACTAACGCTCAAAGTGTCAAGTTTGACGGCCAAGAAAAAAGGGAGTTTTGACCCAGACGCGGAGATGAACCGCCTATGTGGCAAGGGGCTCGCACAGGCGGCTCCCTCCCGTGGGCGGCTACCGTACCCCCGGCGGGGAGGTATCCGAACACCGAATTAGGGCGGTCCCAGGCGACGCAGCCGCTCTCCCGTGCTGAGCTCACAGCCCCGGGTAGCAGCACACCAGGCGCACGGAGCCCCCACCTGACGAAGCTGAGATGGACGCCCAGGGAGCGGTGCACCCCCGAGCAGTCAATGCACAAGAAAACGCCGTATGGGATGCTGGCCCAGCTCGGATTCTTGGCGCCACAGTCGAAGCAGGCCTAAATGGAAGAGGAAATGAGCGATGATCAGGGTTCCCGAGTCGAGGCTGGGTGCTGACCCCCCAGGAAAACAGCCCACGTCGGCCCCTCTCTCCCTCAGGCCCCAGGGGAGCCAGGAGAGGCTTTCTCGGCTGGCGCAGACCCCGCGCGCCTCCCGCTCACGCACCTTGTTCGTCGGAATTGCGCGAAGCCTCTTAAAAAGAGTCTGGATTTCCGTCTTGCTCGGCTCCGCCGCCATTTTCTCTCCTTCCCAGACACCACCGCGACCAACAGGTCCCGTCACGGGCCAATCCGCGGCCGGGAAGGCGGAGTAACCGGGTTGGTCTCGGCAGTGCCCTTGCCGGCCGAGGGGTGGGGGATTTGTCCGATCTGCACCAATGAGCGGCCGGCGGAACGACGTGACGTAAGCAGCCTCGGACTCTGCATTGGTCCCCCGAGTCAACGCTGCGCTGGGCCGGGGCCAATCCGCAGCCAGGACGGGGCCAACCCGCAGCCGGGGCGGGGCGACGGCTCGCGGGCTAGCCCAAACCTTGCCGGAGCGCTGCCCGGACGTCTGGCTGTCCCCGGAAGGTGGAGCCAGTTCCCAGATGGCGCGGGCTGCGAGGCCGGGGACCGGGGCCTTAGCTCAGGCCAGTTCCCGATGGATGAGTAATGATTAACAGTCCTACCAAGCACTCATGGTCCCACTGGCCTGAACGGGAAGACAGACTGCCCTGGCTCCCGCCCAGCTCAGAATTCGGCGTGCCTCCAGCCTTGGCCGGCTTACACCAGGCCTCATCCCGAGTCCCTTCCACCCCAGGTTAGGGTCCTGAAGTTCCAGGGCAGGTACCAAGCTGGCAAACCTTGCCCAACCCCCGGCCCCATAACTCGAGGCCCGCGGACCTCCTCTCCCTCGGTGCCTCTCTCCAGATGCCCTCTGGAGGCCTGGTATGGGTGGAGTATCAAAAAAGACGCACACAAGCCTGACTGCTTTTTTTTTTACCCCAAGTTTAATACACACTAGAACAAGCCACAAAAGAGGGTGCTGCTAGCCCAGAACTACACTCACCCCAAGTCCACCCCAGGAACCCTAAAACACAGAGACCAGGTACTAGGTGCACGGCTCCTGGGGAAGCCCAGGCATCCCTGAGCCCTTCTGTCACCTCCTGACTCCCCCATCTTACCCTCAGCCTACACTCCGCTGGCCCTTCCCTACCAGTCCCTTCCTAGACGCAGGCCCCTCCCCTCCCTGGGTCCCAGGACTTCCTCCCTCCTCAGGGGACAGAGGGGCAGCAGCAGCACGATGGTTCAGGGCCCTCAGGTCCGGCTGTCCAGAAGAAGCTGGGCTCCGACTCAGGGTGGAGAAACATTGCAGACCGGCTGTGAGGGTAGGTCAGGCCCCCACACACTCCACGTAATTGGCAGGATACAGGCCAATACGGCCACTCTGTAACTGGCCTTGGCACCAGCCCTGCTCATCCTCCTCGCTCATCTTTAGCAGCTCCTCCCCTGGGGGAAGGGGGATAGGTCACTGCCAATGACCCTGGCCTGGCCCCTGTTCCTGCAATTGGGTCAAGGACTGAGGGGGAGGGGATAGTACGGGAGCCCAGCAAGGAGAAGAGACATGGCTCAGGCAGAGGGAGGTCCAAGTCAGGGAGCCACTCCACCCCAGACCCTGAATGCAGCAGTCAGGCCCCAGCTGGTGACCCTGAGGGGCAGGAAGACACTCTGACTCTGACTCCCAAGGGCTGGACCCAGAGCAGCCTACGAGTCAGAGAACTGGCCCTTCAGAAGTGGGTATCTGGCACCTCTTTTTCACATCCCTGTTCAGGCTAACAAAGGGGGCGGGGCAGGGGGCTGAAGCCTGGAAAGGAACAGGAAAGGGGTCCCAGGGTACCTGCTCGGAAGCTCAGCTCATCAGCTTCCTGGCCAGCGTAGTCGTAGAGTGCCCGCACCCGCACCCCGGCCGCAGCCCTCCGGGAACTCTCCTCATCTGACCACTCCTCCTCGTGCCCACCACTGGAGAGGGAGACACAGGCGCAGGCTCAGGGCACAAGGAACCCCTTGAGCGAGAGAGCCTAGGACTCAGGGCCAAGGGCTCACGCCCTGGAGGGAACCCTGGGAGAGGCCTGTGGGGAAGAACTGGAAGATTCTAGTCTGATCTCTGCCATGCAGGCCTGTGGGCTCAGATGTGCTTCCTGCCTGTGGGCTCAGGTGTGCTTCCTGCCACACACAGCTGACATGAGCAGTAGATGAAAAATCTGGAAAAAAACTGGAAAATCTAAACCAACATAGTATCATTACAACTACTAAGTAGGTCCTAAGGTCTCTGGCCCCGATTTGCAACCCACTTTGGGTGTGAAGGGAATGAAGGGAAGGAGACAGCAGAAAGGAAGGTAGGGCAGGGGTGTTTCCTTCCCACAGCTAGGTTCCTCACTCTCACCCTGGGGACCCCAGGGACTGGGGTGGGGGCACGGCGCCATCTCTTGTGGCCACGATGCTAGTCAGAGTAACCTCATCCGGGCTCCGGCCACCCTTCTCCTTCCGGCTGATTGTCCTCTGTGTGTCCAAGGACCACTCCTGTGGGGACAGTGCTTAGGGTCAGGCTGGGCTGGAGGCTGTGGTGGCAGCCAGGTCATCCAGACGCCCTTCACTTACTTCATCCCAAGCCCTAGCCTAGCCTCGCCTCCCTCCTGAGGTCCAGGCTGAGCCCAGGGGGAGCCCACCCCACCTCCCAGCCCCAGCTAGCCGGGAATCCGTACCTCAAACTGCGGCCAGTTCATGGCCATACCCGGCCCGTGGGTGCTACGCCACCAGCGCAGATCCTCTTCATCACTGGCTGCCTCGATGCTCTGATGCAGGTCACGGTGGAGTTCATGGAACCTGTGAGCCAAGGCACAACCTTCAGACTTGGAAGCCCTGGGTCCCTGCACCCCCCAATCTCATTCAGCCCAGCCAGAACCCGGGAGAGATGGAGGAGACCCAGCATTACCCCAGATCTCCACGCCCACCCCGCAGGCCATACCTCTCGCTGCTGGAGAGGTCGAGGTGCTGATGTAAGGTAAGCAGCACATCCTTGAAGAAGAGGAGCCGCTGGCGCTCCGCGGCCTGGCAGGTCTCGAAGGCCTGCTCCATGTCCTCCATGTAGCGTGGGGTGTAGCGGTGCAGCTCTGCCAACGTCTGCTCGTACTGGGTTTTCACCTGGGTGGGAGAGGAGGGCGCCTGGTGAGGGCGAGACTTTCTTCCACTCAGGACTCCGCTGGTGTTTACTGGGCACCTGCCATGGGCTAGACCCTGGGCGAGGCACAAGGGGCCATCAGTCCCAAGACCTGGCTCCTGCCCTCAAGGACCCCGCAGCCTATTAAGGGAGGTGACATTTGGACATGCAGCTTTAAGAGTCTGATGAGTGGAGATTGAGATGAGGTCAACCTATGGGGAGGGGTGGGAGAAATCAGAACAGGCTTCCTGGAGGAGGTGGAAGCTGAGCAGAGGACGGGGAGGATTTGGAAATGCAGAGCTAGAGGAAAGGGCACTCTGGCAGAGCAAGTAAGAGAAGACATCCCAGGTGGTACACGGTGAAAGGAAAGGAGCTGGGAAGGTCTCAACTGCTAAAATTATCCCAGTGCCTGAAATTGCACCGTTTCTTCCCCTGGGTAAAGCATCATCTTTTCTCAGGTTCCTCCTTTAAATGATAATGTGGAGAGAGGGTAGCAGGTGGGGATTAGAGCCATAAGAGTGCTGGGCACTGGAAAAGGCCTTCAGGAAGCCCTGAGCTGGGCCGGCCGTCCTGCGGCCTGTACCTTCTCGGCCTCCTTGGTGCAGCGTTCCACCCGCTCCTGCAGCTTGCGCAACTGCTCCTGGGAGACAGCACTGTCTGCCTTCGCGTGACTCTCCCGTGTCTGGGCAGTCTTCTCCTCCTTCCGGGCTGCATGGTAGCTCTTCTTAGAAGCCTCAACCTGGCATACACGGGGACCACTCTGGAGCCTGCATGCACGCCCTGGCCCCCTTCAGCCCCGTGCAGGCCCAGCAAGGGGCGTGCCTCTGATGCCCATCTCTCCCAGGCTCACCTCCTTCAGCCTCTTCAGCCAGGGTTTCTGGGCCTTGCGGAAGCCGTCCTCGGCAGCCCGGCTCTCTCGGAAGCCACCCAGCACAGGCCGGTGGAAGGCCCCCCGCTGCCAGGCACGCACACGCTCACTGTCCTGCCCTTGCAACTTCTCCCGAACCTCGAGGTGCAGCGCGCTCAGCCGCTCGGCCGCCGTGAAGAAGGCGTGCCAGGCCTTCTCCAGCGTGCCATACTGAGGGCCTGCAGGGAGGGACGGGGCTTGGGCCAGGCCAGGGACTCCACTGGAAACAAGCCCAACCCCTCTCAGTGGGTGCTGCTCTGGGTGCCAGGCACAGAAGGGGGACGCAAAGATGAAAATGATGTCAGGTGCTGATTGAACACCTACTCTGTGCCTTGAGATCTCACTGAATCCTTGCCTCATCCGCCACCATGAAGCAGTGTCAGGATCAACATTTAACCAGCGAAAACACGGAGGCCCAGAGAAGTGAAGTGAATTGCCCAAAGCATTCCAGCTACAAGTGGATCTGAGATTTGAACCCAGGTCTGTGACATAAACCACTACACTCTGTTGCCTCAGAGGGAAGAACCAGTGTCTGTCCCCGAGGAAGGCAGCTTGGGAAAGATCCCAAGCACCTGAGTCAGAAGGATTGGGCTTCAGCTCTTCCTAGCTGTGTGACTTCAGGCAAGTCACTTAGCCTCTCTGAACTTCCGGATTCTCCTCTAGAGAATGGCTAGAACAGGACCATCTCCATCAAAGCGTTGTTAGAAATATCAAAATAGGGGCCGGCCCCGTGGCTTAGCGGTTAAGTGCGTGCTCTCCGCTGCCGGCGGCCCGGGTTCGGATCCCGGGTGCGCACCGAGGCACCACTCCTCCAGCCATGCTGAGGCCGCATCCCACATACAGCAACTAGAAGGATGTACAGCTATGACAGACAGCTATGTACTGGGGCTTTGGGGGAAAAATAAATAAATAAAATCTTTAAAAAAAAAAAAAGAAATATCAAAATAACTCATGACCATACATTGCAAACTCCAACAGGACGACAGTGAGAATAAACAGGAGGATCTTCCCTCTTTAAAGGGAAGGCGACAAGAGGTGCAAAAAGAAGCCACCCTGCCTGGTCTTCCCACCCTTGGCGGCCCTCTGCTCCTGGCTAGGCCCAAGCGCTGGCTCACCCTTCTCCACGGCGCCCCTCCATTTGCGGGCCCATTCGGCCAGCTGCTGGGCATAGGCCTTCTCGATGCGGGCACGCTCCTGGAAGCAGCTGACCAGGTCCCCGCACAGCCGATGCCCATCCTCCACCCGCTGCACCGTCCGCCTGTAGTTGCCGGCCTGGGACACACACGAGAAGGGCAGCGTCACTGGGGAGAAGCTCCCTCGAGGGCTGGGACTGACAGCCAGGCTCCACCCCTGGACAGGTGGCTGGGCCCAGGGAGGGGTGGGCGTTTCAGTGCCACCCCCGAACCTGGGACCCAGCTGCTCACCTCCCAGAAACTGCCCTCTAGGGCCTCCCCTCCAGCGTCTTCCTCAGGAGCCATGGTGTCCCTGCAGCACGGAATGGCGGCGGGTTGGGGCTGTGGAGGGCAGAGGGGTAAGCGGGGAAGCCGACATACACTTTTGAGGATAGGAAAAGACCCTCTCCTATCCCTGGGCTTTGCCCCCACTGCTGTCCCCACCACCTAAGGACCCAACCACCAGAGCTAGGACTTAGCAGACAGGGGTCTGGAAGTCCCGAGGAGGGGCGAGCAGAGGGGCGAGGATGGCAGTTTCAAAGCTCCTCCTCTTAGCTGCGGTCTGCCCTTCCCCTCCACCTCACCCCGCATACCTGGGGCCTAGAGATCACTTCAGGGACCTAGGTGTCCACCTCTCAAAGCTGCCGCTGTGATTATGCCTTGAAGCTAACAAGAGCAAAGGAGGGGGTGAGGGCGGGGGCCTGGAGAGGCCAGGGTGGTGCCCAGCTCCCCCGATATAGCAACTGCTGTCAGAAGCGCCAAATTCCAGCCAGGAGAATGCCAGGCGGGTCACACGATCCAGCTGGGGATTATATGGCAGGCGGGGGTGAGTGGTGGGCAGAGGGCCCCACTCCCCCGACTGCAGATGAGAGAAGAGGACGCCTACCCCAGCTGGGGCCCCATGGCCTTTCCTTGAACGACAAGGCGACCCTTTACCAGACCAGGCCAAGTCAGAGGGTGCCCAGCCACACCCCAGAGCTCCCTGTGCTGGCAAGAGCAGACTGGAAGCCAGGAGGCCTGAGTCCTCTCTTGGCCAAGAAGCTTGAACAAGTGCATTTTACTGTCCTCAGCTCCCTCCAAAGATGGAAATTCCGCCTCCTGGTCTGCTTTTGTGCCAGGACTAGTGTAAGACTCAAACCAGGCAATGAGCGAGTATGTGATGGGCCCACCAGTCACAAGGAGACACTCATCCTGTTCCGCAGCATCCACTGAGGTCCCACTGGGCTCTGTGGGTAATGAGTAACTCAGCTCCGCCCTCAAAAGCCCAGAGTCTGGGGCAGCATGGGGGAGTCGGACAGGTGATCAGCCAGTGTTCTCCAGAATCACGGAGGAGGGCAAGGCAGATTCCAACCCCAGAGCCACCACTCCAGGGGCCAGAGGACATAGTAGCATGCGGCCGCTCCCCTCCTGCCTCTGGGCAGGGTCTCAGCTGTCCCCAGCACTGACTCAAGCCCCTAGAAGGAAATTGCTTCCTCTTCTGAGCAAACCCAAGGGCTACCGCTAGGCCTAGGAGGACAGCGTGTGTGCCCCTTGCCCCCAAAGCAATTACAATGCGCCCCTCCAAACTGATGAACCTCTCCCCATCCTTCAAAACTCAAATAGGCATCTTCTCTACTGTCACCCCCCCATTCCTCCATCCCCATTCCCACGGCCCCTTGTGACCCCTGTATATCCCCCTGGGTGGTGACTGACAGGACAGGATCTGTCCTCAGTCATTGACAGAGTTCCTGGAGGTCCAGTTTGTGTATCTCCAGGCACTGGAGTTAGTAGTTGAATGAAAAAACAAATGACATCCACCTGAAGACCAGGAAACCCACTGGCTATGGCAGCTGTGAGAAAGCTTGGCCTGAGTGGGCTTCCACCCCTCAGCTAACAGGAGGGAGAGCTCAGGCCAGCAATGGAGGTGCCTGGGCACAAGCAGGAGAGGGCAGAGCAGCTGGCCCCACCAGGGCCCTCAGCGCTTCACCTTGCTTCCTCTCAAAGTCTGCCCCATTTGCCCAGAAAGGACTCGCCAACCAGATGGAGAGAAACAGAGCTGCAGCTGTAAATCCCAGGCCCTTTGGAGCTGTCCCAGTCAGGCATCCAGGGGCCTGGGCCCCCTGCCTGCTCCAGCCTCCAGGCTCCGGGCTCCCGGGAGAGCTGTCCCCCACCCGTTCCCTCTCTCTGGCCTCAGAACAGAGCGAGCTGTGTGTGCAGGGCTGGCACTGCTCCCTCCGGCCTCCCAGAGCAAACACAAGCCCAAGCCTCAGGCACAGCCAGGCCCCATAGCCCAGGCTTGATCAAGCTATGGGGGTGGGCCCTGCGCCTTGGCCCCTGTTGGGAAGGGCCCACATCCTGTGCTCCCTGACCTCAGCAGAGACCCAGATTGGTCCCAGAACACACTCCGCCACAGGCAAGAGCTCAGAAAGCAGATAATGAACGCTCCTCAGCCCAGGGAGCCAGCACCTACGAGGCCCTGAGGAGTCTGCTGAGGTTTGGCAGGGTCTCCCCAGAGCTGCTTGGGCCAAGGTAGGGAGTCCTGGGGTTCAGGGAAGAACCCACTCACCACCTGAAGCTGGTAGGTACCCCTGTCCAGAACAGCCCACACCCTTCCCAGAAGCTGGGGGCATGCCCCTAGGAGGGAGCACTGCCATCCTGCCCTGCCCACCCTCTGTCCTGAGTCACAGGCTGCGCCCAAGGGCCTCTTCTCCCAGCAGCCCCTCCTGGTCGGCCCACAGCCCTAGGAACTGAAGGTACAGGAGGGGGCAGTCGGCTGGTCCAGAGAAGGGCACCAAGGCTAGAGCGGCTGGAACCAGCAGCCAGAGCGGCCGGGGAGGCTGGGGGAAGGGGTGGCGCGGGGGAAGGGGAGGAGGCAGGGCCAGGGAGGGGCATAACAAAGGGGCACTTTTGGAAACCCGACCTGCCGGCTGAGGTGCCTGCTCCCCGATGACGCACTCCAAACCTGGAGCCTCCACACCAAACCTTGGAGTCCAGGGGCTGCCCGTTTCCGGCCTCAACCCTTGTGGACGGCGCCCTTCAACCAGCCCCTCTGGCCGGCCTGGCGCTGCACAACTCGGAGCCCGTGGAGCCCACGCGGAGCGGCCGGGCCAGGCCTAGCCATGGAGGCTCTAGGACTTCTTGGCCAAACTTGTTGAACTTGGTCTCGGCGGGGGTGGGGCCAGGCGATCACCGCTGAGGGGAGGGGGTGCACCCTGCCTGGGCCAGACCGGCCGTGGACTCCAGTTGGTGGCCCCAGGAACTGGAGCTCTTTGCAGAAGGCGAGAGGTCGCCGGGGACCGAGGCCCCTTTTGGGACCCCCCGGCGGTTTGGAGCTTTTGAGGGGCCCCAAGGGATGGTGTGGCTCTCCGGCCCCGACGCCCCCTTCCCCCCGGCCGGCCAGGGCAATTGCGGGGTGCTCGGCGCCGCAAATAAGACACCCCCTCGGCTCGCCTACAGCTCTTCCCGTCCTCGCGCAGAGCAGGGTGGCGGGGGGCTCCCGGGGCGGGAGTCGGTCCCATTGCAAACTTCAGGAGCGGGAGGAGGAGAGGGCGGGCGCGAGCCGCGGCTCCCGCCGCCGCCTCCCCGCGGTCTCTGCCGGGCAGCACTCACCGCGTCCTCCCTGCGCGCCTCGGCGGGTGGGGGTCCGGCCACGCTCCGGCCCGAGTCCTGC